AAATTGTTCCTGGACATAAAAATAATACGTGCTTGGGAAGTCGTTCGAGCAAAATGCAACTGTCAGTTCCCATATCACTTCCTTCATGGTTTATAAATTCGATGTTATCGTCGTTTTCGTCTCCAAGATTCAATATGCCAATCTGCTGCGTCCGTCCGAACACCAGGTTCTTGAAAAGGACCACCAGCCATTCTGATAACAGAGATATTTAAAAAAAGTCTCAACCTGGTCATAACATCCCTTGTTACTTCCTCTATATGTTTTTATTTTTAATTTTGTTGCCGTTGGTCCTGTAAACAGAGTATTTGAAGCGAAAATGCCTCGCCTGCATTTGGGAAATGTTAAATAACTTCGCTGACTTACGCTGTTAGCATATGACGATCCATAAGAATGCAATGATTTTTTCGTAACATATTTTCTGCTTTGCTTTACAAATTGATTCGGACTTTAACTTAGTGTAAAGAACAATTTAATGCGTTACCTTTGTAGTCTACCACTGCAATTTCTATTCTAGATTGAAGTTGTCAATGAATATGCGTTAATAATGATCAAGGTGAGGGCTATTGCAATTGCCGATGAGAACAGTGGATTTCAAAACAAACCCGTCTAGATTCAAGAAGAATTCTTTAGGTTCAAGAAAGTATAGTCGTTTGAGGGAAATAAGAATTTTCACCTTTCAGATACATGTTGCCTGCCCGCTCCAATCGAACCAGGTTCTTGAAGAGGGTGACCGCCCATTCTGATAATAAAAACAAAAAGCAAAATTGTTATTACCTGGACATTAAATTCTCTGTTGCTTTCCTATTCGTTTTATCCATAGTGATGTGTTCAGATTTTTCTTCTTTGTTTGACTTTTAAGAATATTCCAAGTATCTTTTTTTTTCCTGGCTATCAGTTTCATCCTTTGAAAGTGAAACAACAGCGAAGACTATGAATACAGCTTAGTTGAGAATGTTTCAACTCCTTAGTCCTACCAAAGCGAATTGAACCCACTCGGTCGTAACCCAGATTTAAAGCAAGCCAGTTTCGTCTTACGTAGAGGTAATCGTCTGAGGCTGAGTAAAATTAGGGATCGATGTCACGCCTGTTTTCAGAAGTTGCAGAAAATTCCTGCGTCGTGCCGTGACAGTCGCCAGCAATGAAATTATGATACTTTTAGACAAAACTAAATGTTTTCAATTTCAAGTTATTTTGCTCGGGGCAATCGTCAAAATAAATGAAAAATGCGTCTGTCTCAGTCAATCAGCATTAGTAACCTTGCTCTCTATGTTATGAGGAAAGAAATGCGACTTCATAACAAAGACTTTGAGGGGAGCGAGTCGCTAATCTTTGTGGTAGCAAAGTGTTCTTTAATCAATTAAATGGTGTTTTCAGTTATTAACTCGCGGAGAGTACTTACGCATTTGGCGAATTCGGAGACCCGGCATACTGAAGCTGACTGAATTGTCCAATGCTGGGCATTAGATGACTTCTGGGAAGAAAACCTGGACCACAAGACGAAGTGGTACCGTAGCCTCCCTGGGTATTTACAATAACCACAGGAGGCTGACTCTGTACGTCAATCTTTTGAGCAAAATATCCTTTCTCGTTCTTTCCAAGAGAAAAATGTACTCTGTCACCGACGACTAACCGATTGAATTGATATCCTCGCAAATCACTTTCATGAAAGAAAATTCTACTCGGCTCTAACCAAGTTTCAGACGGGTGGTATTTTGTTATGAAACCATACGTACTCTCAAGCTTTGCAATGTAACCCTCTTGAATTCCTCTGGACGGGAAAAGATCCCAAGAAGAGCCTCGAGATGCTTGCTCTGATTCGGGATGCTATCAAAGGAAACGAAAGCCACTTAAGAACTAAATTAATAGCTCCTGAAGTTCTAAATCCTATTTGAAACAAAGTGATATGTTCCATTTAATAGCAAAATACCTAACTGGGATAAGATTAGATTTGATTTATCGCAAGTGACGGTGTGTCACGGCTTATTTATAGATTGCTACCAGTCGAGAATTGATATGTCAGTCATTCCAATAATGCATTTCGCTGATGTTTTGGTGATGGAAATTTAATCAATTAGTTTTACATCATAATCTACCTTACTCAGCAAGATTTAAAGAGTGTATACTGATCATAAGTATACACCCTAATACGAAAAAATAGTATCCTGAGATTATGAGGGGCTTATTAAAAAGCGCTCATCGTTTACTGATATATTATAAATTTTGGTACTACATATCGTGTTCTATGTAATCGTAAACTCAGTTTAGTGCAGCTCTTTAGTTGTCCCCGTAGGGTTTTGCCCCTAAGGCCAAAACCCGAGGAGCTATCATTGAAGTCCCCACACGTATATATATGAAAAGAATAAAGAAATATACCAGATATTAGGTATATAATGGAAAAAAATCTCGAGGAGCGCAATTGCTGTCGGGTAACCGCAAGTTATCCGCGCGAATTGGACAAAGAGAAGCGCAAGTGCTGTTGGTAACCAGAAGCAAATATTTACTGCGGGGGCAGCCTAGTGAGAACTACGACTAGTTTCTATGACAATTAGCTTCGTAAAATATGTTTAAACTTCTTACTTTCAGTTGAAAATGAAAAGATTCTTACCAGATCAGAATACACATGCCCACCGTCTTGGAAATGGCGCTAACTGCGGTTTATTATTTGTAGAGCAATTGCGAATGATTTGTGACACATAAATCATATTTTGGGATTATGGTATTGAAATGTGTGATTTAGGGATAGCACATTGCAATGTTTAAAACTTACGCTGCCGGTTGCACCTTAAATCCGGCTGATTTCTAAAATGAAACGCCACTTGCGATTGTACTGCGAGATTACGTTATACCAATACAAGTTTCCATTCATTTTATTCTAACTAGAAGAGACGCTAAAGCAGAAATTTATTCATTGCAGTTTAAGGAATATTGCTATTAGTTAATAACAAAGGCGAGGCAGAAAAGGGCCAATTAATTTATCTACACTTGGTATCCCATACTTTATAGCGCAGGAAGTGCATAATTATAACATATGAGCACAGCAAAACCTTTAAGCACTTACCCATTTTCTGTTCTTCATCTCGCACCCAAAAATAATTCCTAAACATGCACTTAACGAGTTCCTACGTGACTTTTACGAAAGCAATGTTTAATCCTTACCTGAATATACATATTTTGAGCAAAAAATCCCTTTGAACCTTTTTCAACACTAAATTGAACTTTAGTGCCACGGCGAAGGTGAGGTATGTCTTCCTTTGATATGCCAGACTTAAACTCGTGAAAGAATACTCTTTCCCGGGTTGAAGGAACTTCTATAAAACCACGAACTTGGTTGAACCTTGGAGGACCTTCAAGGCTGCATACATAACCTTCCAGCCGAGACTTCATGCGGTAAAGATCTTCCAGAGACTTTGGCAATGTCGCTGTCCTTGTTGCCCTTTTTTCGGTGCAGGAAAAAAGCCTCATGAGCAAAGCTAATATGCTTTTAAAAAAACGACGTAATTATCATAATAAGTAACGGAAATTAAGTCACAGTTTATTGTGTGACATCAAAAACAAATATTAATGCGCAGGTGCCGAGTTCGAGTTGTTTTCAGGTTCGTTTTTGACATTGCACTTTCTGTACTAAATAGCATGTTTCATTTCTTGTGGTAAAAGCAAATAAGAACCTTAGAACTGTTCTATGCATCGCACTTCGGACGTATAAAAAGAAGCTCTGTTGCTCGCTATGTTTATTTGGGCCGTGCGACGAAGCTTTGCCCTGGGTGAAAAGTTTCAGTCTCAGCACACAATGTAAGAGAAATCGATCAGATTGTCCGCAAAAATCTCACCGGAAATTATATTGAATACTTTCGCAGGTATCACAAGAGAACATGTTTAAAAGTTTGCGAGGTTCGTATAAAACACGATGATTGCAGACATTGATATGTCGCTTTAAACGTTAAACAAGATGCAAAAATATTTCTTGATTTTTTGTACAATTTGCTGGAGTTATTTCGTCGGGCCACGCGGGTATGTCGAGCAACTGGCGCTTATGCTTACGTAGCTTTCTTTGCGCGACAAAATCTAACCTTAGCTTTGTCAGCTGTAAAGTCTTTCACAATATGGCCAAGGTTGCAGAGAACGTTAAGTTCGTGGACGACCTCCAGCAAGCGCTCACAGAAAGCTTAGCTGTGTTTCCGGTTAGCTAATTGAAATCTGAACAAAAATAATTATCGAGAACATCGTGGGAAGGAGAGATGTTTTCGAACAGTTACCGAAGGGGTTTGGAAAGATCTTTCAACTGCTGCCTAGAGTGTTCAAAATCTTGAGCTCGAAAGGCCACGGATCTCTTCAAGTCCCTTGGTCATTGTCATTTCACCTCTTGTCGATTGTTGGAGACCAAGTTAGATACCCTTGATCATTGGAAATAGATGCTGCTTTCATTGGGGAAAACAAAAACCAAAGACAAGGAAATATTGGATGGAAAGGGCGGGTTTGCTTTGTTGTAAATGTCAGCTTAGTATAGGGTTGTCTACCCACATCTAATAAACAAAAGTTTCCACGCTTAGCTTTTCTTTTATTTCAGGCTAAGATTAGATTTGATTTTGGCGTGTACGGAAAGCTGCCTAAGCGCCAGTTGCTCGACATACCTGCGTGGCCCGTGCGACAAAATAGCTTCACAGGATTGGAAATGTTTCAGTTACAGCAAATTAGACAAAAAATCTAGAGAGATTTAAGTTTACATCTCATCTAACGTTTAAAGCGACATACCAATGCCTGCAACCATTATGTTTAATACGAACCTCGCAAATTTTTCAACACGTTCTCTTGTGATACCTGTGAAAGTATTCAGTATAATTACCGGTAAGATTTTCGCGGACAATCTGATCGATTTCTCTTACATTGTTATATGCTCTTCTGCTCATAACTTGAAATCGACTCATCCCCTGGGTCTCCGAGGATGGCGCGAGCGGTGCTCGAGCTTTATGTTAGTACTAAGTTATTTTGTAAGATTTCTGCCACCTTCAACGTTGTTCACCCAGAGTCGGGATAGAGGTACGTAGTAGTTGTTGTTATCGTTTTCGTTGTTATTAGGTTCGTTGATTGTCTGTCGCCTCAAATTAGTTTGTAGTTTCATGTTGTTTATAATCGCTCAATGACTCCTATTTATTTTCACTACAAGGTTAAGGTCAGTCAGTCATTGTATCCTTCGTTTCAGTTTTTACGTATTGGATCATTAAAGTTACCATATTTGTGTACTCGTCGTGGTTTAATTGATGACTCCGATTCAGTCTGAAAATCTATCGCCGTAACAATTTGAATGGGACCTTCGATTAAACTTACTCTCGATAAACTGCTGGTGTGGCTGGATTCACTGCTTTCTCTTCTTCGTGAAGTCTTATGCGATTTTCTTTCAGAAGTGGATCGATGAGATCTTCTTCCTTTAGGAAACACAAGAAGAAAAGACTAAGTCAAAAATTAACCCTCTATCTGGTTGGTTTGGCAGCTTTGATCAAATAGTGTTAAATTGCAAACACCATTTACGTCATAATAAGGTTACTCTAAGCCTTTACTTTTGCCTTCCATTAATATCGTACGATACAATTTGCGATTTTTGCTTTTTTAATGATCGATTTACAACCAGTTTATCTCGATCTTTCATGGTGAAAGCTTTATCTATCATTTTCTAACACGAGTCCACTGACGCAACCTAGTGAAATAAGGCAGCTAAAATAACTATTCATATTCAGGTTACGGTCGTGACTTCCACTGACGTCACCTCTTGAGATCTATAATGGCCCTGGTTTCTCTCCTGGCGGACAATACGTGCATTCACGCCTAATCTACCTTCTCTTAGATCGCCAAATCACCGATCGACTAGGAAAAGGTTTACAATGTATGAGATAGCTCACTCAGTGCAGATCTCTTTAAAGCTTTATTTCAGTAAACAGAACGTGCGGGGTGCCCCATTCATTCAAAGGGCGTATGTTAATTACCCTTAATCCCAACAGAAAATATAAGTTGTGTGATCTTTGAGTTATTCATTTTCCAGTGGAAAACAAGAGGTGAAAACCTACCACCATCATGACATTCATCGCTCTGGGTCCTTTTTCGGCTTTTCCGACGGTAAAAGAAACCACTGAGTAGAGTTTTATGTCATCGAGATCGTCTACAGGAGGAACGAACTGTTTCGCGTGAAAGAAGAGGCGTTCTTCATATTTTGGGTGAAAAATGCGCCCATAACCTTTGTCAGGCTTCACCAGGACTACTATCCCTTGCATTTCTTCATCCAAATGACGAGTCCAATCGTCCACCTCTGAACTTTTCTGTCGAAGCCTCACTGGTTCACGATGGAGAGGTGTACCAACCAAAGGTAAAAAATCATGTTCTTCATCATCTTCACTGAAATCTTTTTCAGTAGAGTCCTTGTCTTCTTTATATATCGGTAAACTTTGGCTTACGCGCGCAGCTGCTTTCTGAGCTTTGGCCATTCCAGGAGGACAAGCTACATGCCAAGCAAAGGGACCTGTCCAGTGAAAGGCGAGGCAAAACTGTACTTCGTCTCCTTCATTTGGCATGTAAGGTTGTACGTTGATGGGGACAAAAGACACACTGATGCGGTTTTTGAAGGTGATAGTCCCTCTCCAGTCACTAATTTTTTCTGATACTATTCCTTTCCATTTGGTTATCTGTTCTTCGAATAAGGCTCTCTCGATTATCTCTTTCCCACCGCGTTTTTGACCCTGACGTGAAGATCGCTTTAAATATTCTCTTACCAAGTCTTCGTGATATAGTAAGGAATCTAACGAATTTATATGACGACCCACTTTTGGATGAAGCCATTCGACCGGGAGAAAGGGATCCCGTGAAACCTCTTTGAGCCTTCTTGACCTTTTATGCAGAAATTCTTCAACATATTTGGTAGCCTTGTTCATTTTCTCCTTGTCATCAGGGTCACTTACTGCTTCCAAGATCGCAACAACATAACTAAAAATTGAAAAATACGAGATATGATGTATTTAAGTGAGCCAACGCAGGTAGTTCTACTTACATTAGGGAAAGTTCTAAAAATACTTACCTCATATCATACCGTAAATTTGATACTTTCACACTAAGCAATCGAGAAGTTTCCTTAGGGGAAGGAGGCCAGGCTGCTTTTACAGGTGTAATTAATGTAATGGGTAAATAATTACCTCTTATTACTTATTGTTTCCTGTATTACTTCACTTGGGTATTTACCCGAGAAGCTTTTCTTTTAAACTATAACGATGTCATGAGAAAATAATCATTATCTCTTGCGTAGGATAATACTCCAAGTGTCATTGACATTGGACAATATCCCTGTTTCATTTGATTGAAATAAAGTGTATTTGCAATCTTCCTCACAACCGTGACCAAAGTATTATCCGATGTCAACTCAGACTCCCATTGACCAATCCCCCGGTTTAACATTTACTTAACTTTTTGCTAGAAACATGGACAGTGCGCTTTTAAGATGTTTTCATTTCGAATCATAGGCAAGATAGTGAAAATAGTGTCACTCACTTGTAAAATAGAGCAAAAGGCGATCTTCTTCCTGTAAACTTCAACCATGCGTCGATTTTGCGTCTGACTGCCTTTAGAGGAGGAACTTTTGACCCTAGTCGCACGCATCGGATCCAGATCTTCATGGATTCCTCGTCATGGTAAGGATTTGTCATCATTAAGTCTTCCAGATTTCGAATTCTTTCGTCGGCCTCTTCCGGTTGCAATTGTCGCCTCTCAATTTCCAGTGAGTAGATTAGAGACAATGTTTGAAGGACCACAGCGTCTACCCAATCTTCATCGCTGGAACCTTTGGTCACTTCTTTAAGGCTCTCACAAAATACTTTCATCTCTTCAAGACTTCCCAGGTTTTCCAAAAGATTGTCTTTCAATTTTGCAGTATGCTCATTGATTGGCACTGCTCGGAGATTTGCAAAGGAATCCGGCACTAGAGCAAGGATGTACTTGTCCTCCTCAGACAGCGTAGAAAAAGAGTGATTCACTATTTTTTCTTCCAGAAACACTTTCAGATAGTCGACAAAGTGGGATCTACCAACTGATTTCATGGCTGCAAGCATGACAATCTTCCTGACAAGGGCATCAGATGAGTACCCATGTTCCATCAAGGGCCTTTTATCTTTCACAATCTCGAAACAGGAACTGCTCCGTATAGAATTACGAACAACTTCATCCAAAGAGAACTTCTTTTGATCTTTTAGGTTTTGCACCTGAAGACGAATTATGTCACCATGAATATGATGTAAAAGAGGGTCTTCTTTGTGCGCTTTTACTGCTTCTTCAATGCGAGGGATGGCACTTTGAAAGTCTTCATATACAATCATGTAGTATTTGGCCAGATGAGCCAGTAAATGAGCCCACACACTCGTACCATTTTCGAATGTTTCACTTAGCTCCAACAGCATGTCGCGTGCCGCGTCTTGGTCGCTCTCCCTCATAAATCGCACAAGTGGCGAAAATTTCTCACTCCCATACTCACTGGTAATGTAGAGTTGTCTCGTTATGCGTTCAATTTTCTTGCTAGATCGTGGGTCTGATAGGGCACACCTTGCCAGACGAAGCGCAACATCTTTCAAGTAAAGGGTGAGACTCAATTCACGTTTCTCAGATTGCTGACGAAGTAATTCTTCTGCAACTTCAACAAAAGATATCCTTCTGAGGTTTCTTCCGTCCGATGAAGGAGGACTTAATAGCTCTCTGACATCATCGTTACTGAATATTTTCTCAAGTAGGACGACATTTGTTTTTGCCATTGAAGCAAAAGCATTTACAGGAAAGAGAAAGTCTGTATATACGTGTATGAGAGCCAAGAATTCCAAAATCTGGAGCTGTAACTCGTTCGCATGAGCCAAACGATACTGAACGTAACTTTTTAAGCCACTAAATTTTTTACCAAACACTGTTAGGCTGAAAAAAGCAAATTTTCGCAAGGAACATTCTCTTGCCACCCTTTCCTTAAGCACCTTGAGTTGAACCTTCTTTTCTTCTGAAATATCTTTTAGTTTGAGAAACTGATCCACCAGCTGTGCCACTTCACCTTGGGTGAGTTCCCGACTCAGCTCCATCGTTTTGAAAGGTGCGGTACCAACGAAATATGGTATTGATTGCTTCTTTTTCTGTTGACTGTACAACGGGTAGGACTCGACCACAAGTAACTTTAAATTTAAATTCCTCCTTTCTGCCTCGTTTTTAAAGTCGTTGAACTCTGGTAAAACTGTCATTTCACTGTCAACGAAAAGAATTAGAGGGAGGCGAGAAAATTGAGTGATCTTTTCTATGTTAGTGCCAAGGCTGTCGTTAAATTCTAGTAGGCGTGCACAGACATACTGCTTGTGAAACTCAAACAAAAGCTGCATGCATAATGTTGTTGCCCCAGCTCCTCTCTCTGCTTTCAGGATAGTAAAGCAGACATGAGACCGTTTGTCAGTCAAAAAAGATCTTAGCTCTTTTTTCACCTCCTTCATCTTTTCTCTCTCAATGGCAATTCCACAGACCAAACCAATCTCGTCAATTTCAGAACCCGAGAAAAACTTGACCCTTACTTTGTCCTCATCCTCTGATTTTGACTGAAAAGGAGTAGCGTTATTCAGGTACATGAGCTGTATATGACCTTGAATTGCTTGCCGAATCGGTTGAGGTAAAGTGTCTGGAATGGTTTTCTCTACATCATGATAATAGAACCTCCTCGGGACCTGAAAAGCATCCTCAGACCGGTAAGGTGGTGGGAGTGCAGCTCCTACGTGACGTGCCATTTCATGAGGTAAGGCGACAATAACGTTGTCTCGCTTAACTTCAAATCTTGCTCTTTCTAGAGGATCCACAACCCCTGATAACACAACGGACTTTGCAAGTGGATTGGAGCAGACAAATATTATCTTTGTGGGTCCCCAGGAGGACAACAAGTCCTCTAAAAGAGCATATAGAGACGGGAGCAGTTCTTCATGACCATCGTCCCACAAACAGACCACCACTAACTGGTTTGGGCTTACGTGGAGAATAAGTTGTTCAATGAGGGTCCTCATATGACGACCATGAGACTTCATCCACGAGGCGTGGCCCTCCTCTGCAAGAGTTTTGTTTACGTCTTCGTAGCCACGGACAGCACACCAACAAACACCGTTACTTGGGTCTAACTGTAGTCTTCGATCACGAGGAGTTCTCACGAAAAGATTTCTTTCCACCTGATGGCGATCATGAAGGGGTTTAAAGATATTCAAAAGATGTCCATCCTGATTCGGGGTTTGATCAAAATCTAGTACTAGAGCCCATTCGGGAACCACAATGCCGTATAAATCGCGGTCTTGTCTTTGGAGGGAAAATGGTGAACAGACCAAGACATAGGATGTACTTTCCTTTTCAAATCTGTTCAAGGCGTTCAGTAGTTTATCAGATTCAATACTGTAGTCTGTTTTTTTAAAACATTCCAAAAGTTTTGTGGGTTTCATTTCAGCTACCTCTCCTCCCGGATCAAGATTGAAAGTCAATAAGGGACCTGTTAGGTGAATCGGATACTGTGATGCGCTGACGTGGAGATGAACCACGCAAAAGCTGTCTCTTGCGTCTTCTACCTCCTCAGGCGAAGCAACAGCCACTTGGAAGTACTTTGACTTGCCACTTTCACTTTCCATCTCCGAAATAAAGTTCTCCACGTTTAATTGTGTTGCATCTTTCACTAAAATACAGCATCGATTGTTTTTAAGACGTAAAACAGTTAGGAGCTGATCTACCTTTGATTTGGCGTGTTTGATAAACTTCGGAACGTCATGTGCCTTATGAAAACTGACTGCGAAGAACTTTCTCGCCCTTTCCTCGTGGCTTTCTGGGTATCTTACGATGTTTTTCGATGAGTCAAATTTCACTTTAGTAAACTTCATGAAAAAGTGACTACTGTCGACGGAAGGCCAAAAGTTACAGATTATTTCGCTGCACTCTTTGACTAATTCTTTGCGATCTTGCTCAGACATGAATACCCCAACAACATAACCAATCTTGGTCTTTGTGTCTTCTTGTATTCCAAAGTAAATGTCACCTCCGTCCGTGTTAAGAAATGAAGCAGAGTACCTCTTGATATGATCTTCTAAAATGATTTTTTTTGGATCAACGCCAAAAACCTCTTTGAACTCTTTCTTATCTGTTTCAAACCTAACTTTATCGAAGACACGGCGCTCGTCACTATCTATCACATATTTGGAACCCTTCTCTATTTCTTTTTTCAAATATGTTGGTGTTTTCTCTGGAATGTTGCGACTTGCCAGTGATTCGAGCCTGTTGAACAGGTCTTCGTAGTCGGCCATCAGTTTTGTTTCTGCCCCAACGCGTGTATAAGCCCGAGTGTGCTCCTTCTTAATAAAACTGATTTGTGAGGTTCCTTTTACCACATGAATACGAAATAGGATTGGAATTTCCTCCTCTTCCTCAACCTCGTGTGGCAAAAGGCTTTTGTTTTGCAGCCACATGGCAGCCACAAAGTCCTTTCTCCTCTCCACACATTCATCTGCTTCTGCTGCGGTTGCACAAATATCTACACTTTCGTTAACATTTGGCAGTATTTCACCCAAGGCTCTAGCCATGTCCTCTCTCTTCTTAATAACCATTGCTCTTGAAACTTTAGCACCTACAGCTCTTCTATCGGGACTGACACCCACAAAAATATCTCCAGTTGAACTATTTTTAAGCGCAACCATACTTTCTTTCATTTTTTCTAACGGCTGTTCAGGCAAACAATACAAATTGCCACGTATTTTTCTAAGAGTATCATTTAGAAAAATGGTTTCCTGGTTAGTTCCTTCAGCTGAAAATATTCCATGTGCAGTAAGGAATGTTTCAGACTTTGGTCTCGAATACGCGGGTGATACGGTAGCTTCATTTCTAACAGCTGCATGTTCATCGGAGTCCACAACCACTTTGAACGGAAGCCTTTGAACACCCTCCGTCATAGATACAATTTCCTTATCTGGACGTTGTATTCTCCCTCTCACAACCAATGGATCACTCAACTTCACATCCAGAATTGTCGAAATTTTGTGCCTATTTAGTACTTTGGATTCTGGAGACACTTTAATCTCTACATCAAGTTCTACGAACGCGTCATCCACCTTCGATTCATTTCTAAGATAAACTGTTCCCGCTGCCCCACGGTTTCTTGGTGTGGAGAAACAAAGCCCCTTAAGAGTTATCACCTCGCCATCAGGTGGAGTCTTCCTCAAAAGTTCATCTATGTAGAGATGATCTCTAATCTTGTCAAGACTCTCGACAGTACCAAACAAACCCTGCAGTTCCGACCTACTGACAAAGAGTCAAATAAACAGTCGGGCATAAATCAAGCCTATCAAGGACGTCAATCGCCTATAAAACATTAGTCACGGTTAGTTAGATTTTCTAGGGCACACTCGAAACATTTAGTAGAATTACAGTTCGTTCTGAATGTGTGACTCAAAATGATATTCCTTAGTTTCACCGTAATATCATAGTGTTTCGATTCCTTACTTCTACTTCTACCTCTTCCCGCGGCTAAAATACATATTTGTTTTCTCTAGCTATAGAACCAGATATACCAATTGACATAAGTAGAACCAGAGATAACAACTGTCAAAACCTCTGTAAAATTAGTAGATAGCGAGACTTAGAGACTTTCCGATAGTTTTAAGCTTGTATAAATTCAGAGAGTGAAAGGTTACATGCGAACTAAATTGTATTTAAGTTGTATTGCATCCTATAACAAAGTCAATTACATTCAAGCGATATAAAAAAAAGTTCAAGTTTGACTGTCATGATCCGTCGAGATTAACGAGACTACTTTTTTTCTGCAAGAACAATCTCAAAATATCAAGATCTTTTCTTCCCTTGACTAAACGACACTATGTAAAGGAGACTTTGTTCAGTTCAGATGAAAACCTAACTGATAAGGCTCGCACACGACACATCTATGACAATAATGGAAGAAAAGCTACACTGAGACAGGGTGGTTGAGGAAGTGCTCTTAGAAAGAGGAGATGGTTTAGGCAACATAGCGAGTAATACCTGTTTTGCGAATTGCCACAACTTGAGTTAGAAGCAGAAGGATCGTCACATGGGGAAGCTGACCTTTTAGATTTTCGTTTTGCAGTTTCTCTAAGGGTGTCGTCGCTCTCAGATTCTGGAACGTTTGCAATGATACGTAATCAAGAAAATGCTGTGTTTATAAGAATTTGTTATTTTAAACTAACTAAAAAGTATTCCGCAAAAATGATAACATACAGTCTAAACATAGTTGTGATAAGTCTCCATTAGATTTCAAAGGCATTTGTTCTAAAAATCATCCCATCAAGTTAACTCTACGATAAGTACACCTGGAAACGTTCGAAAAGTCCCTTACCTTGATTTATTGTCGTTCCCGCGCCCGTCTCTGATGACTTTGTGCCATCATCTGCGCTACTAGTTGTACCATTTACATTTTCTTCGAAAGCAGCGATTAGTTCTGTCCAAAGGTTGAAAAAGAAATCGCCTTGATTTGGAGATCTTTCAATCCAGTCTTGCCGTGTTAATTTCGTAAGTCCGGCGCCTGAGATCGTCTTCAGCTTTAATACATCACTTCCATCAATCTCATACTCTTCGCAAACGTCGTCAATCCATTGGATAACTTTCGCCTTTTTCCATTTTCTTGGGTCTACATAAACGGAAGTTAATAGAGGGATTAAGGAAAGCGCCAAATGCGCTCAACCGATCATCCTTAAATAACTAAACAAAACCAGATTACGTTTCTTGAATACCTTAAAAGGCAAACAATACATGCACTCAAGTACATGAAATCCGACTGAGCTCTTACTAGCGATTGTTACCATATGATCAAACATTTGTGGCAACAGCCAAAGAAATCGATTCGGCTCATATTCTCTAGTTAGGTGGACCTTATGGTGAAACGATTTGAATATATCAACAAAGTTGAAATGGTGAAGTGGCCACCCTTACGATTATAAAAGCTGACGTTTCGAGCGTTAGCCCTTCGTCAGAGCGAATAGAGGAATTGTGGGCTGCGCCACAAATTAAAAACACTTGAACCAATAAAAAGTACCAGATCTTGAAAAACAACATTAAGACATATGTTGACAACAATTTCAGCAATTCTTGATGGTTTATTGCACAATCTAATTGAATTTATCCGACCTTCTTCTAAACTAGATTAAAAATAGGTCAAAAGTAACTCGTTATTTGACTATGTGCTACACAAAATCATGATAAACTGAAAATTGGGCTTTTGGAAGGGAAGTGTAGCTCTTTTCGATCTTCGAAGGATTTGTTGGGGAAATAATTCAGTGCGATTTAATCAAATTTTAAAGTTGGATAAAATGCCCTGATTTGACGGTGCCGTCATATAGTCAAAAATGTACACACTACTTGCAAACTTAATTGTTTCGCATTTTACATCAACTCTACAGCTTGTTTAACATAATATCATCTTACCCTCCATATTTGCTCTTAACAAGCAAATGTCTTGAAACCTCTACACTAAAACATTGGCGTTTTCAAAGCATATATCGAAATCCACAGACAAAATGGTTTATTTCGGGATTTACATTAAGTAAGCTATATAATGTGAATTGTCCGTTTTCCCCAGAGCGAATCCCCCACCTTAGAGTACAAAACTCTCATCGAACATATAAGATACTAAAAAACTTTTATTACCCATTTCTCTGTTATTTTCAAGCGCAGGGTCTTTAGCACTATCCATTCCTGGAGATCAACAATCATAGTAACATATTAAAGCCGCAATTCTAATTAATGCTAATTAGATGATTTAAGGAGAAAGAGTAAAGAAACGGAGCCGGCACCAAAAGTAAGGTAATATAATAAAATAAAAACCTTAATAATTACAATAAAAATGTGGTGTTTAATAGATGCTTCTGAACGCGTAGTTTACCTCCACGTAATCCAAAATGTACATGGATGTTAGAATCGTGTGTCAACCCTTGTTCTTTCAATGATTTTATGAGACAAATCTGTGAAAAAGAACATTAACCAATGATAATTAAGACTCTATGACATATATGAACAGAAAATTCGTAAAATTTCAAAGAGGAGAGAGCCATTAAATAAAAAGTACGAATACCTTTCGTCCCTGATGCAAAAATATAAAAGAACGTGGTAAACTTGGACATTTCTCTAAGACAGTATTTCTCAAAGCTTGACCCAGTTCGTCTTGCCTAAGAATCAAAACTAGTGGCCTGTCATGTTTGATGCCGTGCACAAATATCTGAAACAATTCCTCCCTACGAGAACGAAACAAACTACTTTAATTTTGGGGAGAAAACGTGCATGTGAGGAAAAGCAGTAGCCTTATAGTTCCTAGCCAAGAGCCATTATGGCTCTTGTTCCTAGCATATTCGAGGTCGAGGTGTTGAAGTTGGAGGCATAATAAGCTTAATACGGTTGTGTTCCATCTTGATCGATCGGTACCTTAGAGATTTCTAAATATATTCCATTTTAATATTTCCAATGCGATAAAATCGGGAGACATGACTTAAAGTTTCGAGCAACATGACTCTGGTTTCAGGCGACATGAATTTTGAGCGAATTGACCGTAAACGCGTACTGGTATTAGTAATTTGCATTTCCAAGGGTTGTTATTTTTGTCGTTTCGTTTCGCTGTTGAATCAGTGCTCTCCTTGCGAAGGGAAATTTTTTCATGAAAACTGTAAGCTTTTAGGATAACTCTACGTGTTTTTCGAACTGTGTAACGTACAGCTTCAACCTCGCCCTTTTCCTTCGTCCTCTTCTCTTACCCGTTACGTGTTACAAACTTCACCCTCACCTTTAGCCTCACTCTCGTGCTTAGCCCCACTCACTGCCCTTTGCCTAGGTACTCAAAATGGCCGATTCTGGTAAACAACGCGACTTTGAGTTCAGGTAAGAATTTGACGTCAAGTATCGTGATGTACCTTAAGAGGCCTTTCAGAAGCGTTTAAACAACTTTCCTGTAACCTTTTCTTTCGAAACATTTACTTAATAGACCAGGACTTTTGGACGGCGACCATCAAGCATTTCATGATACAACCCAAAATAATGTTGTATAGTGATTCCATGAACTTTTAGCCGACATTTGAAAGGAGGAGGGGCTCTGTTAAGAATTAAGAGTGGGGTAGAAAGAAGACTGTGATTCTCCACACAAATAGAACTCTTCAAACATGATGTGTCAACTAATTTTGACGCTGATCGTAGATTGTCTAACTTTCCGAAATATGTTCAGTCACAAGATACTGTGTATAAGTCGTGGATACATTGCGATTGAATGGGTTTTGATGATAATTAAATTCCTTTTACAAAAACATACACTCTCGCGTGAAAGCATAGGAAAACATAGGCAACCAACGGGTACTTCTCGGATAGAGTAAAAACTGCTAGGAATTTCTTTGAACTGCTGGGGTGATGTTCGTGCTTACTAAAACAAGGAATGACCTAAAACCACCTAGAACCACCGACAATCACCTTCAGAATACTATTGTGACAATTTGTGACAATTTGTGACAATTTTCTTGACAAATTTCAATGTAAATGCACACTGGAAATGTTGTCGCATGTCTCGCATGTCATGACCAGGGAAAAACACGAAGAATATTGATTACACAGGAACAGCATCAAGAGCCTCGAGGTTTTTTGAGTAATAGATAGACTACACTTTCAAAGTCAGTGTTTTCAAGGTCTGAGTTTTCGAGGTCTGCGTTTTCGAGGTCTGCTTTTTTGACGTCTTTCTGAGGTCAACGGAGCGGCATGTGAAATATACGGCTTCATAATTTCTGTGTTCTGCCAGCGGGATGCCACTTTGTCACCGGAAGAGAATGGAATGTGTGCAACAACAGGGAAACCAAAAGCAATCAAAATCAAGAAGTAAAATGGGAACAAATTAATGCCAGCATGTTGTAGGTTCTAAGAGCTGATTGACTGGATCTATTTCATGTTTGGGACTCGTAGGGATGCTGCTTGTAGCTGCAGTAATTTTAGGGAATTTATATTAGCTACATGCATCTCATGAGGTTTGCAAGTTCTGTTTTTCATAGCTGTCACATTGTTTCAACTGTCACTGTTTTTTTCGCAGTTTCCTGTTCTCAGTCAATTAAATTTTTTTTCGCTGAATAATAGCATCTTATTTTAAACTGTTTTGTTTTCTTTGTTGTACGCTCACTACGCAGCCCAATTTGAAGCAATTTAAAATGGTTAAGGTCGGCACACACGAGGGGACTAGTCCCTGCGACTAGTCTGTGCGACTAGTCCCAGGGACAAGTCTGTGAAGGGTTTACACGAGGGGACCGGTAGCAGGGACTAGTCCCTTAAGGCGTTCACACGAGGGCACTCAATTGCACAAGAACATAGGAAAATTAAGAGGCAAATGATGTTTCTTAGTCTGGGGCATTACACGAAAACAGTTAAAATTTGGTAACTTTCATTGTAGCACTATTAAACATCAACGCAAACGAACTACACTTATTCAGTCGGATTATTCATGCTTTTACGTGTTCCGTTTTTGTTTTTTTTATTTTATTTTTAACAGACACAGAGTCAAATAGGGTAAAAAATTCCATCAAAACGGCTCCAAGACATCTGTATATGTTTACAAAACAAGAAATAGTTTTTTATTCTTCAGTTGTAGAAATCTAGAAGTCAGGGAGAATTCATAGAAACTGCAATGATTACAAATACCGGAAGTCACGCATCATACTGACCCGTGATTGGCTTATTTACCGTTTAGTCGCAGGGACTGGTCGCACAAACAGTTCACACGAAGGGACAAACATTTGTTTCATACGACAAGTCCCTGCAACTGGTCGCGTGAATTCAAACCAGTTTGAATTCATGCGACCAGTCGCAGGGACCAAATTTTAGTCCCTGCGACCACAGAAATGTGTAGTTCACACGAAGGGACTAGTCGTCGCATGAAACTGGTCGCTGGGACTAGTCGCAGGGACTAGTCCCATCATGTGTGCCGACCTTTATGGTTGCTCGGATTTCGATTTCTTAGCAAAGGGCAAAATATTATAACACAACCTCATCAAATTTCCTGCTACTGGGGGTCCTGCTTGGTGTCCCGTTGACCTCAGAAAGACATCAAAAAAAGCAGACCTTGAAAATGCAGACCTGGAAAACTCAGACCTTGAAAACACTGACCTTGAAAATGTAGTCTATCTATTACTGGAAAAACCTCAAGGCTCTTAGTGGTGCTCCTGTGTAAACAATTTTCTTCATGTCAAAAATTGATTTCTGAAGGTGGCTGTAGGTGGGTTTTAGATGGTTGTAGGTGGTTTTAGGTCATTCCTTGATTTAGTCATTATGGGGTGATGTAGGTGAGAAGTCAAAATTCACGTTCTGGTTATCGGTCAGCACAAAACACAGACTGCAGACTGAGAATTTAAACTGTTTTTTTATCTGATGCACTATAACATGTAATCTTACAACTTACCAAGTGTCATACAATTTTTCTCAATCCTCTTTCACGATCATTTGCACTAGTTTGGAATATTCCTTGCCTGTTCCTTGTATATTTTGTTTTTAACAAAGCATCCAGGCCACAATCATTCTTAAGTACAATTTCAAGCCTTCATAGTCTTCTCAGTATTTATATTGTTATAAGCTTAACTGAGGAATTGGCAAATTTTGATAGGGAAAAGCAAATTCAGCTTTACACTCATAGTCACACCTTTAGTCTTTGAAAGAGCTTTGACTCAGTTACACATGTGTTGACTAAGATGAGTATTAATCAAAACTCCCTTGAAGAGAAGTCAAACTATATTTCAACATCATGGCATTACTTTGGAAAGTCAGTAGAGGTGTTCCGGTATTATTTAGGACAATCAATATCAATTGGTCTGCTGTTGACATATCAATTTGTTTACATCTCAGTGAGTGACAAATGTGCATATTTTGACCCCTATCAATAGTCATTCCATCCCTGGTGTACCTATGACTAAAAGGGCGGTGTCTTGACCCTTTTTTTTTTGCTCACTCTATCATCATTTATGTTATTTTGTACTCTGAACATGAAAACAAATGCATCACAATTCTGTAAACCACATACGCTAGGTTGATGTTAATGAGTGTTAAAGAGAATTGTGGTCCTCAGCAGACTTTGTGCATAACTTTGACAGCTTTTTCAGCACTGAAACCATCAATACAACTATTTGGCCTTTTTGTCTGCCCACATCATTAGAATACTCACCCTGAATGTGAGTTTGCAGCTTTAAATACAGCTGGAGAATTTAAATGAGAACTCTTGGGACCCTGCCATATAAAAACAACAATTGCTGTTAACGCTGGTGTATAAGCTGCCTGCACATATAAGCTGTGCCCCAAGTTTGGCAACTCAAATTTAGGGAAAAAAGTTTGTTTACAATAAACATTTTTTTTCCTTGCAGAGTTTGTGTCATTTAAACTACTTTGCCAAGTCAGTGAACTGTGTAACACCAAAGAAAAACAATTAACCAAGGAACTGAGAGCATGCTTTCAGGGATTGCCACTATTGCTATCAACCTTTTATGGGTTGCCTATGGTAAGGATCATAGGTACACACATTTAGCTTAACAACATCCCTTAGACAGATGGTTGTCATGATTTTTCGATTGAATGAACATTTAGATATTATTGAGTTGATGATATTTGCTCGTACCTTAGATTTTTGTCCCTGAACAATCTTGAAAACTTTGTCCAATTTGACCCTTAGTTTTTCATCTCTATCCATCATCTCACACAAGGATGCTAAATTTTTTAATTATTTAAGAACTGGTTAATCAAAGTAGTAACAGCAAAGAATAGGAATTTCATAAACATGGATTATGCCTGTGAGCATGTAACATAAACTGGGTATGTGATACAAGTTCTTGAAAATGGCAACATCAAGTATTATAGGAAGGAGTTTAACCCTGAAAGAAGAATCCTGATTGTAGTCTGCAATACCATTTAACTACATTCATTTTTTTACTGAGGGAAGTAAATAATTACTTGAATATTGAAAGGTTCTTTCGTACCTCAGTAGTACATTTGTCATAAATTTTTTATAAGCTTTCTTCATGTTCTCCCACGTGGCTTATCATGTTATAGAACTCACAAAAATGTGATCTATTGCTTAGATAGTACGACCACTCAAACATAAAACTAGGTGGGAGGTTCCTTAAAATTGTCACGAAACAAATGAACAAAGGGACTAAGTTATTGAGCCATTCTTTATTATAATTGTTTTTTTCTGAAAGGGAAACGAAATGTGGTTAAGTGGGTAAAGGGTCAACCTGACGTGATTCCTCAGTATAGCACTGCACATCATGTACTGCTCATAAACATCATGTACTGCTCATAAACATCATGTACTGCTCATAAACATCATGTACTGCTCATAAACATCATGTACTGCTCATAAACATCATGTACTGCTCATAAACATCATGTACTGCTCATAAACATGTAATCAGGTAAATAATTTCACTTGCACTCCGAGAACATGTATTTTTTTCAGTAACCTGACCAAGTAAAGAGGTACAATTATTATGGTCTTAAGCTCTTGAATGAGCAGCGTGACCTATATCTTTTTTTAATTTTGGGGTACAAATTATGCCTGACCATCCTAAATTTTAAATTTGTGAAATTTTAAAAATTAATTGAAGGGGAAAAAGACCTTATAAAGCATGTGCAAAGGGCATTACTTGATGGTGCAAATTATGACCTTGAAATCAATTACTCAAGCAATGTTTTGAGTTGATTTGGGTTAAAATTGCACTATTTTTCCACAAATTGTATAATTATCTAATTGTACTATAGGCTCAAACCTTTCTACCTGTCACCTCTTAAGTATTACTTTAAAAACCCTTGCTTCGAGATACCTCTAAAGGTACCATGAACCACTGAAATGACAGGTGTGATAAGAGCAAGTTCAGGCATAAATGGGGTAAGTTGGGCTCATTATATCTCTTAAACAAGCATGGTGACCTATATTTTATGAAACAGACATTGGTAGGCCGAACATTTAAGGAAAGCTTAGAAAAAAATTTTAAATAACTTTTTTTTCTGAGGAATGACCTTAACAGCCTGTTAATTCCTGCTACACTGGTGAAATTCCAAATAGTTTAATTTTTTTTCTCAGGTCTAGAGTTTAACCACCAAAATACTATATCAAACACTTATTTTGGATTAAGTAAATGTTGTGATGAAATTGCCAATACATGTAGGTGACTATGAGCAGCATTTGATTTTATTTCATTCTTTTTCAGAAATTTTAAAAATAGTCCAGGGCAGCAAGTTTGAAAATTACTGCTCCAGTATTATGATCATTTCATGACTTGACTTCGTGTGAGGTATGTCTGTGAACATAAGGTATAACATAACTGGAAAATTTTAGCTTGAAGGCTTTATCTACTACTTTGGTAGGACTTCTGACAGGTTGTAACGGTGCAGGACTGCATACATGTAATTGAGCCACCCACACTGAAATGCTTAATTAGCAAAGTCTGCAAAAATTTGCTTTAATACTAAAATTTAAATTTTGTTTTCTTAATACAGGTATTTCTTTTATTTACTGAGTTTGTTAATATAGAAAATTTTCTTGACTTTTCCAGTACTTTTTCTCTTAAAAACAAAAAAAAAAAACAATCATCAAGTTCCTAGCTTACCCCTGGCAGCTTGTAAATGATAAAAATGAAAAATTGCAAAGAACAGCAAAGTGAATGTTTTTTTTTTTCAGTATTTATTTGCAGAACAGTGCAGAAAAAAAATTATGAAAATTTTTTCAGTTTTTCTGAGAATAATTTTGGAAAATACAATAAAAAATATGGATCTAACCATTTGCTTACATGGCTCAAATGGTTTAGAGAAGTACAAACCTTTTAGAATCAGAGTAAAATACTAGTTCTGAGCTTCAACCTACAACAGCCACATGATGAATAAACCAAAACATTATCTGAGATCAGATATATGTGGGAATTAATTGCCAATTAGGCTTACAAAATGAACAAAGGTACAAGTGTATTGCCAAGAGTGTTACCTCTTGACTCACAACTCTCTTTCAAGAGTTTGTAAAGAGAGCAGAGCACCAGGGTCTCAAATATGCAATATATCTCATGTAATAAAGAAGTTGATATGTAAATATTACCAAGTCTTACATACCTTTAGTCTGTTGTGGAAGCACGTCTAGAGTAGCTCCTACCTCCTCAAAGTGGAATTTGATGAGTTTTATACTACCATCATGCTTTTCTTTAAGCTCCTGAAAATTAAATTTAGATGTTCAAGTTTCCCTGGAAATATAAGTTTTGTTAGTAGTCATTCTTAACAACCAAAGGAAGTAACATACATTTAATTACACAAGGTCATCTTTACCCTTAAACTCTCATGAGTGACCAAGACAGAATTTCTCCTTACAGCATCAATAAAATGTTAAGCACACAAGTAACAAGAATAAGGAAAAACATTAATCATTAATTGATCCAATTCCAAATTTCTTGAAGTAACATAATTAAGAATTGTATGACAAACATTAAGGAGAGTTACTAATTATATCTTGGGAGTGAGTTGGTTTAAATAATAACTACCAGCAAATTAGAGAGTGACCAATTTAAATTCAGTTTACCCTCAGATAATGTCATTCAATAAGTTTGCATAGATGCATTTGAGGCTGTTTATCAAAGAAGATTCTTTTCATTTTTTAATTGAGCTGTACATTTGGTGAAAAATTTTGGCACAAAAGGGCTTTTTATCCCATTTGATGTCTATTCTGTGGAACCTGTATTTAGCAGTCATTCAGCGTAAAGTGGTCACCCACCGTCCATCCATGGTGGCTGAGTCATACAGGTTTGACTTTAAAAGAGAATTTTGTTTTCTGATTTTAGACCCCACTGTAATTTGGACAATATCAAATATTTGGTACCTGTATTAGCCGGTCCTATCCTATCAAAAATTTGATTTCCAATTGATAGAATAATGGAAGTTTCAACAATTAATTTCCAAGCAGACCCTTTGTCAACCAATGCAAAATATTGTTACTAATTCATCAAAGTATTGGTGAAGGATGTTATTGTAAGTAACCTTCTATCCAAAGATCTAACCTATAGCCTGAAAAATCTATACCTGGCATACAGTTGAGACACATTTATCCTTTCCATTACAGCATACCATTTGTACCATCAACTCTAACAGATTTCTGTGATCTTGGAGGCGACAAGCAAGTGCACTGCACTGAAAAAGTAGAGTTGAGAAGAGGAATAAATAGATCATGATAAGGTTACGAGCGCTTATACATAATGTACATGAAAAAATTACGCGCGTCTGATTGGCTGAATACGAGTGCATTTTTCATGTAACACGAGTGCAAAGTTGTAACGCTAATGCAAATTAAAGTTGTAACACAAGTGTAAACCATAGATAACGTGCATATGCTGCTAAAATTTTGCCTGTCTTAATTCTCTGTGATGCTTTTTTCATGTAAATTATTAGTGAGTAACAATATGATTTCTCATGCAATTTGACGTAAATGAGCATAAGACTACAAATTGCAGTTGCCCTATGGTGAATGATTGTTTTATTATTATTGTTATTTTAATATATGCCACACAGAAACCAAAAAAATTCGCTTATATCTATTAATTTACCAAAAAATGGTCGAAATTAAATTATTGGCACACGATTTTGTCTCTTCGGCTGCCTGGAGGTGTACAGTGCTTTCCAATCACTTCTAAACAAGCCCATCAGCATGCGCATACAGCACTGTTCACCTGTATGGTATATACTAATACATCTGAAAAGTGATTTCTAATAGATGAGTAATCAATCAAACTGTTTTTTTCTAACAGTGCTCATTTACATGAAAAAAAAAAACTCATAAAGGTTATGAAAAAACAAAGGTATGATTGCAGGTCCTGTGTTACCCATAGTTATAAAAGCAAAGCAATCACGGGTATCATCAATTTTTTTACCCACGAGGAGGTGATCGTCAGACAGACGTGCTCGGTGTTGCTGTGGTACAAGTATTATTAAGAAAAGTTTGGAATACATAACTACTTGGCTACAATTTAGGTCAAATACATTTCATCGGACTAGTTAGCTATTAACAAGAATAGGAAATTGTCTAATTAATAACATTGACTTACTTTGGCGAGATAATCTTGTTCCAATGTTTTCTCCCTAACTTTGTCTGAGCGGGATCTTCTTAATGGTTTTAACTTTTTCAAAAGCACCTTTCCAGAGTACCCAATGAGAGTTTGAGCAGGGGAAATCTCTGTGTGAACACTGCAAGTTTCAGGTCACAAAATTCTAAGTAAGGGGCCGACCATTTAACTCTTGAGAAGGGGGGTGGGTGATTTTGAAAAAAATTTCCTGCAAGCGCTTGTTGGAAGAAAACAATTGCATGCAGCCCAAATGTAACAGAAGAAAAAGAGCATTTAGAAGGGAAAAAATTTCATGCACAGCAGATTGCTAGAAAAATTTTTCTTGATAACCAGAAATCACCCACCCACCCCCCACCCCCAAAAGTTAAATGGTCGGCCCCTGAGTTAAATTACTGATGGGCTTGTCTTGTTAGACGCTATTTAATTTATTGAATTTCTTTAATATCCTATTTTTGCATGAAACTCCATCATGGATCATATGAAAACAGTGATTACAATAGTGTTTATAACGGTAAAAAATGATAATGAATGATAGCAATATATGAGTAGCGGTAGAAGTACTAACCATAGAGCTAATGACTATGATATAGCATACATGAGTTTTCAATGCTTTATAGAATTGCTGTATGTGAAGTGAGTTGATTATAATACCTATCATCAGGGCATCAACCGTACAATCAGCGTCTTTTGTACTCTAAAAACACCGTCAGCGAATATCGATCCCTATAAACTAAAGCATTAATTCTATAAAGTCGGCGATAAGAATACAACCAGAAGTAATATTTGAAAGATAAGTTATAAGGCGCTCCTTTAAATGTACTGAGGGATGTTTTTTTCTCTTTTATTTCAGATTTGGACAAAATTGATCCAATACTTTTTAGGTCTAAAATAACCATGATGTTCTTTTCTAAAGGATACTACTGACACTATCGCTCTTTGAATTACAGAGCAGAGGGTTCTACGATCCATTCGCAGATACGCCACTGAGTAGTTCTTCCTTCTTTAGTTTCGCGAGGTCTCAAGAACCATATCGACCAAATCGTGTGCACGAGTAGCATTGTACTTCTGAGTACGTCGTTAGTAAAGGTAACATACCTTCCTTGTAAACGCTACGATGACTAGTGTTTTCCTGTTGCTTGACGTCGTCAATTCAGGGAAGCCAGCTTCTAAAGAAGTTTCATTTTGTTCGATCTCATGATTAGGGAAGGACGTTCTTGTGTAATGCGCCATTAACACCAAGTAACTGATTCGAAACATTCACATCAATGGCACTTACGACTTCAGTTGACGTAACACTGACAACTACAGAGCTACTCGTAGTCGCGTACTTCCAGGTCGATTCAACTATAACATTTCTCATAGTTTTTTTGGATAGCGTATAGGTGCAGAAAAATCGTATCACATTTATGCGAACTTGCGGTGTAAATAAGTTGGTCATCAGTTTCCGTCTGAAACCTCTACAAAGCTTACAAGTTATTGTTAACTAACTTACCTCTTTGAGCTTACTCAAGTATTGTCACTGTTATATTTTGTCGCACGTTTGGGAAGAAGATGGACGTAAACGCCGAGCTGTCTTAATTTTGTACGTAACATCCTAATACGTAATTTCAGCTGGCGTCCTAGCTAAACATACGAAGTGCCTTCAAAAGCTTTAATAAACTTTTTCAGTATACAAATGTATGTATTAAAATGTCCCACCACACACCTTTGGTTTTTTCTTGCTTTTTTCCCCATTACTGTAATGATATCCTCTCCGTGATCACCTGAATTCTAACATGGGTTTACTTTACAACCGAGGCTCAGCATTTCAACACGGAAGAAAATCCTAGTTCCAGACTTACCCGGCCAGAAGCTTCAAGACAACGCCCTTCATATAATACGTCCCCAGAGCAACATTAGGCGTAGTTTCAACATCCCCTTCCCTGGGCAACACGGGCATTTGACCATTGTCTGTGCCAAAGGGGTGAAGAAATTGAAATCTTGCTTGGGTGGGGTGGAGCATTTTAACCGGAAGTGTCGTCTCTTAATGGAGGAGTCTATTAAAAGGTAAAGAGCCTGCTTTTGTGAGCGTATGGCCTAGAAAGACAATTTTCACATCGTAGAATGATGCCTACGAGCGAAAACCCAACAGCATCACCAATAATACGTGACTTCGCTTAGTTCAACATTCGTTGATCATGCAAGGAATGGTTCAATATTGGGTGGGACATTTGAAAACAATTTTGGCCCGGGGGGCAGGAATTTGAGGGAGCTATTCTTCAAAAATTCAAATTCCGGAGGGGGGTTGCCGGGGGGGGATGTTAAAGCCTCGAATTGATCGACGTATTTGCAGGACTGCGGGCCAGACCCAGACCCTAAAAGTACAAAAGAGAAACTCGCATAGGATTGATAGTGAATTTTCAGGGAATGTGGTTGCACCTCTCCGCCATAAGAACTTTCTCTTTTCATCAATTATACTTGATTTTATGAACGTCACTACAAATTGATTACTCGGCCGATTTTCCCTAACCAAGAACTGCTCTATTTTGCAAACAGGTTAGCGTGGATCTGTTCTAGAAGACTCGTGGATCTTAACCTTTTTCAAAAGCTCTATCTTGCCATTTGATATCTTACGAGAACTCAGATGTAATGCTAAGCGAAGCCTGGGACCCCAACCGAAGGCCTCAGCTTTGCGTTCTACACATTCGGATACAATTTGAAGAAAGAAGCCAACACTTGACGCGGTAGAAATACGAAAAAATTGTGGTTCCAAATGAAGGTTACTGTTTTACTAACCAACAAAAAGCTTAAGAAGTTCAAGTCCAGACCAAGCAAGACAAAATCGAAACAAAACAAACTTTAGCGTTTTGAGATGGTACTTTGCTTGGCCGCGGGGGGCTTGGGTTGGCTCCAGCCCTCTCTCAGCCGGACTTCCGGGTTTTCCAAATTTCCAAAGTATTACTGTAGTTTGTACAGCCCGACTAAACAAGAGGAGAGACTTTCAAAGGATTTATATTTCCCGTATTACTGAAGTGACATGGGAAACCAATCATCATCTGAGGAAATAAAACTCGGAGACAAAATTGGTGAAGGTTCGTATGGTGAAGTGTTCAAAGCCGTGTGGAACGGGAGGCGAGTAGCTGCGAAACGGATTCGACCTGTCTTCTTCGAAGGAGATTATGATGGTAGTATTAGAGCTGCTTTCTTGGAAAAGTTTAAGAAGGAATGGGAGATACTCCGCAGCATTGAGCACAAAAATATTGTGCAGTACTACACCGCCATTATCCCTCCGTCTCCAGAGAGCCCCATCATTGTGACAGAGCTGTTAGAGAACGATTTGGCCAAACACATTCGGGACTCGACGACTAAACCAAAGGTTCCTTTCTCAGACGTTATCAAAATCATGCTGGACGTCGCAGAAGGTTTACATTACATTCATACCCTTAAAGAGCCGCTTGTACATCGCGACTTGGCGAGCAAAAATGTATTGTTGACGAAAAAATTGCATGCAAAGATTGCAGATTTGGGTCAAGCGAAAGCGTTTCCTCGTGGTGCAATGTATGCGACTGCCATGCCGGGAACACCCGTGTATGCCGCTCCGGAGACGTATCCAAAGAGGTTAGGAGGATTACCGTGGGGCGATAAAGCGAGATACACCGAAAAAATCGACATATTTTCGTTCGGAGCCATGCTGCTGGAGATCATTATTGGTCATCTGCCAGTAAATGACTTGCCTGACCCGATTCTTGAAGGTAAATACTTCCTATTTTGCTCTTGAAATAACACTGTGCATGTTTACCCATATATTTAGACTTAATACAATGTTTTTATATGAGATTTTCGTATGTGAAAACATCTGCTGGTTGGGATGTGTTATATTTGATATGCTTTTTAAACCTGACATTCCATCGAGCGTCACGTAATATATCATAACGCCACAGGTAAATAAGAGTTGCGTGACTTACTTTTATTTCGACTTTGAAAATTGATTTTCATTCTATAAGGTTTGGTCAATAAACAATACAAAAATAGATGTTCGAGTGCAATATGAGATTTCGTATTAACCTTTTTCCAAAATTAGCAGGTTAAGATAAATAAGAGAAGTTAATTCATAAATTACTGCGAAAAGCGCAGAAACGTCTGTTGCAATTGATGTTTAAAAAGAGCCATTCATAAAAGAAATGCAGGCTACTTTTTTCGGTAGCCTGCATAGCAGGCGTGATTTTGTCGAAAAAATTTCTCAGGATTTTTCGGTGAAAATTATGCCAATCGTTGATTTTGAGATGAGTAAGAAATTTGTATCAAATGGGTGAGCAAAGGTCAAAAGGAAGGACAGAGGAGTGAAGGAGGCATTAGAAATTCGTCACCTTTCCTCGCTCCGCTCCCTCACCGTCCACTTAAACTCTAAATCAAACATGGCTGGTCGAGTAAACGATCACAGAGTTAGCACGTTAACTCACCCTGATAAGACGCCTGAACTGTTGCAAAGTAGCTTATATTCTCGGTAAACAAACATTCGCAGGAACTGTTTGTGCATTTAAGGTCACTTTGTTTTGGAACGTTTTCAAATTTTACTTGATTGCTGCTCGTGCGATGAAAAAACTTGTCATCTTTTTGCTTCAACCTTTACTACCGAGTTTAACAGGCTTCTTATTTAATTCCAGACGGGGAAATAGTCCCAGAGTACATACGCCGTAGTGAAGACCTGGAAGAAATGGGTCCAGACCATCCTCTCCACAACCTCGTTTTGAAGTGCTTGGAAAACATTCCCGAAAAAAGGCCCAGTGCTAGGGAGATTGAAGAAGAACTTCTGAAATTCAGCAAATCTGTGTGTAGTCCCTCTGGGGATAAAGTTGGTGCTATGTCACATGTTCATTATGACCACAAGTTCAAGCTTGTCGTACTTGGCGAGTCTGGTGTGGGTAAGACATCTATTGTGACCCGATTCCTAAAAACCGACAGCCAGCTCTCTGAGTTAGTACTCCCCAGCACGCTCCAGTCTGAAGATCACTTTGAACGTCTGCGTTTCCGTGATAAGTCAGTCCATCTTCACATCGTCGATGTAGGCGGTCACAAGTTCACAAAAGCCTCCAGCTTAGTGCCTCAGATTTTTCGCCGCGCTCGGGGCGCAGTCATAGTCTTCGACCTCCTCTCTGAGATGTCTTTCTTGGAAGTGCCGAATTGGGTGGAAGTCGTCAGGGACACGTGCGGGGAAGAAATTCCCATAGTACTAGTTGGAAACAAAGATGACGAGTTGGAGAGATGGGTTGATTCGCGTCAAGTGGAGGAATTCGTTGATAGAGAGAAGCTATTTTACATAGAGTCGAGTGCCAAGTCTGGAAAGAACATCGATGAAATATTCTCTGTTCTCGTGGACTTAATGATTCAATGCGAAAGCCAAAAGGAAGGCGAAGCTACGACAAGCGATCTTGTGGCTTCCTTTAAAGAAACCTTTTCTAACAGGGATGCTAGCCAGGAGAAGTCCCCAATAGCTGAACGCTTCCTTACACCTCCTTGTGAGGCCCTCGGTCCGGGAGTCATTGTACTGAACGAAGAAAAGGAAAAAAAAGGGACGACATCATCAACAGAGCAAGACAAGAGTGACAAGAAAAAGTCAGGGTGTTGTTTGTTGAACTGAAGGGACTGAGGACGATGTTAGACGTTAAAGAACGTTAAATTCACCGGTTTTGAAGGGCTTTAAGGTTACAAGAGAGCGATGGGTTTTGTATAAATATTCAATATCACTCTCTTTACGTATGTATATCCGTTTTATGTTGATTCCCATAAACAACAATCAGTTCTCCCTGGAAAATATTTTACCAATGTTATCGTTGTCTCTGTTAAAACACCCGTAATCGATCAGCATCTTTTAAAGAATGGGCTTTTTCGTGTTGTGCGTAGTTACGAATGGGAAAGCCCTTGGTACGCTATTGATTGCAATTTTATGACCTCTTTCCTCACGGATGATGTGGACATGCTCCGCTTTAATGCATTTTCACTCGCTGTTTGCAGGGACGGTTAAGGTAAATTGATTGCACGCACTATACAATTTCAGCTGGGCTCTGTTGGATTTAACATAATTTTTGTCAAAACTGTTTTATTCAACCATTCCTTTATTTCGTTACAATCGTTGAGGTGTTTAAACTTACGGTGCTTTTAAATAAAACCAATTAATAAATACCAAACAGGACAATAATGCTTTTTGGCGTGCAGATTGGCCAGTTCGGTGGTGAATAGAAAGTACTATTCACCTCCACTTTCGGTGGATAATTGTTAGTCTCATCTTCATGAGATCTCATTCCCTTTCGAACACTTATAGGCCTTTTTTTCTTTTCTTCACGCATTCAGCGCATTGATCCTTTGAACTAGTGTTTCATCGATTGTTTGAAAGTCAAATAACTTGACGGCTGACATATTACTGCGCTTCGATCAGAGATGCTAGCGTGATTATAGACTGTTGTCGTCGAGGCACTGGAAGCATTTTAACATTTATATTTTGTGGAGGTCTCTAACACTTATGTTGAGCAGAACAGGGCCGAGAATTTGATTGCGTGATACTCAGAACCGAATGTGTACATCTTCGGGGTACATGTCAGCAATATACGCGAAACTGCTTTTGTGAAAAGCGCATTCTTAGAGTTGAATCACAAGAGATTAACGGCGTTTAGAAGTAAAAGTGTGATAACCAAAAATACTCGTGACTGCACAGGTCCAAAAAACGCGCTATTTAATTTACTTCCAATAAACAAAACGAGACGAAATGAAGCGAAACGGTTTCTGTACATAAATTGCAAGTAATAAGTTAGTATAATTAGTTGTAAAGAAACATACGAACGAGAAACAAAGAATTAAAGGACAGGAAAAGACAGTTGCAAACGTGTTACGAGACGATATAATAAGCGATAGAAAGAGATTATTTAAACTGAGTCAAACGATAGATCCGAATGAATGAACAGCGTGGTGAAGAACTTATTTTCATACAAGTTATACTGTGCAGGAAAAATATAACAGAAATATTGATAAAAGTAATGCTCGTAGGCCTAAATAAAAGTGTTACGAATAAGTTACGTCAATCGAATTTTGGCGGCAACAAATAGAAAAGAGTTAAAAACAAACAAACATTTTCGTTTGGTTCCGCGGGCTTACGTTCGGCTCCAGACCTCGCTCGGTTGGACTTCCGAGTATTTACTGTTTACTGGCAGGGATGAAAAACGTCTGCGCACTCGTGGCGTGAGCATTTAATGTTACCAGGTTGTTGGTGGTCGGCGAGTTGTCCGATCGTTTGATCAACGAAATGTCGGCGCAATTTAAATATTTATTCGTGGATATATTTTGCCTTTAAGACTGGAATGTAAGGAAGCTATTTGAAAATAACTTCTGTAAACTGAACTCGTCGACATGTTGAACGTATTATTTTTGGGAAATGTTTATTCGCTTGCTCAAGGGGCAACTTTCAGAACTCTGTAAGGAAACACATTGCAAGCTTAATTTCTTTGAGTATAATTTACCTCCATTTTAGATAATAAGCTAAGATTCAAATTGATAGAAAGTAAATAATACCATGCTTTGGTAATAAATGTGAATCTCGAAGAAAAATGGAACTTTTTATTAAGGCGAAGCGACACCCATCCTAGCTATGCGGTGTTACATGAACAATTGCAAATCAAAAACGCGTCAAAATATCGCGTTACCCCATGCATATCGCTCTCACTGAAACTTAGAATTGGTTACAGTCCTAAGAGTGTATTGGAAATTAGTTATTTCCATATGGTGTGAGAGTAGCTCCTATGAATGCTGCTACTCAGAAAAGCCACATGAAATCCATTGTTCTCGTGGATATGCTATCAAAAAGAAAAATTCCTGGGAAAGTTGGAATAACTTCAATGGTGTTGGAACTCAAATGAAAACAGGAGCGGGAATTGCTTCAGGATTAATGCAGACAGGGAGTTCAGGACCAACAGGGGTATGGTCGTTGATATTCCTTAGTGCTTTAGGGCCTCGCAGAGGTTGTAGCACACCAAAGGTTTGAGGAGTATTGTGTGATTGAATCATAGATCCTGTTGGCTAGTAAGATTCCTTGAACAATTATCTGGTACGCCCACACCTGACTCAGTGGACTGCTTATTACAGAAATATCCACATTGGATGAGTAAAACAATTTGCCAAACAAAAGGGCAATAAGTGTACATGAGTTGCTTCCAGTTCTGCCAAGAACTGTTGACTGTAAAATAGTGCTCAGAAAAAAACAGAAAGTGACATTGCCATATTGATGTGCTTGGATATTGACTGTTTTTTTTCTTTTTTAAGAAAGAAAAACTTTTTTTAAAAAAATGCAATAGATTTATCTAGCAACCTTTGTGGTATTACATGTGTAAAAGTATGGAATCTCAAATGAAAGGGTTCCCAAATCTCCACAAAAATGATGGGTTAATGAGGGCTGTATATGGCTGTGTCTCACAAGGACTGGGAACTACCGAATTCATGAATTTGATTGGCTGAAATCAATATTGAAAGTGGTCTAGATTTTCCCATCTAGACCAGCATCTAGACTGATCTAGAAAAAAAAAGGTACGAAGAATATAAAAAATTGGCATAATAAGATATAGCCATATAATAAATCTCTTATTAACCGAGCTAGGTTGGTCTGTATGGGATAACCTTGACCTTGGTCACTGGTACAGACCTCACTGCGTTCGGTCTGTACTGGAGAACTCAGTCAAGATTCTCCCATACAGACCTCCCCCTCGGTTAATAAGAACTAAAGGAAACATGATGGTAGCAAGTGTAGAAAGTGTGAAATGATGAAAATAAAATGTTAGTTGTCCAATAGAGAATTTGCACTGAGGAACCTACAAACTGCAAGGCAGTTATGTTTGTCATAAGGCAGCATTAAAATATAAACTATCAGTAGTTCAATTGGGTATTAGCATTGAGGGTCCAGACTTTCACACTTTTATTTTATTTTCTTATATATCTACAAGGTATTCCTTTGACCTGCAGATAGTGGGTCAAATTTTTCTTAACTTAATATAATTACACTGGAAATAAAATGAAAATACAACACAAAAAAGACAAAAAGATGCACAAGAAAAGAAAAAAAGGAAAATGAAAGATTTTCATCCTAAAGGACTCCATAAAGAAATCTTTAGTCTCTAGAAAATTGGAAAGCCCTTTTTGCTTGTTTGTTTGTTTTTCTTTTTTTTGAAAGATTTCTTTTATAAATTTGTTTATTCATTATTTTTATATTCAATTTGCAAGGCAGCCACTTCAAGGCAGTACAAAAATTTATAATATTAATAATAAGGAAGGTTAGAATGAAATAAGATGAGATAGTCATAATCAGAGGAAAAGGAATGAGGGAGATGAATAACATTTTGGTTAGTATTAAAAGTAGGTGCTAAAAGGAATAGAAGAGGTTAGGTATAGGTAGCCAAAAAAGTTTTTTGAGTTAAAAAAAAAATTTGAACTGAATATTTTGATTGATATGTTGGGGGGTGGGAGTTAGGGATGGTTTAGTCTGAGTTGGTTTTGATTGACAATCAGTTTAAGGTATATGATTGATCAAAATTACAGTGTCTTGAAATCGAATGGTGATAATAACAGACACAAAAGTAAATTCCAAAATAATTTAATGTTATGAAAACTTAACTGAGCTATTTTGACAACACAGTAAATAATGGAACTATTGCAAGATATTAATGAGAGAAAATTTCCCTCTCTAATATTAGCTTAATTAAAATAATGCAAGTTTACCTGATAGATATTTAACGTTGATTAAAAAATAAATGGCTTCTTGTTTCGTAATGTTCCAATCCTAGAGAGCCACTTTCCTAGATGTGAATCAAAATAAATCCAAATGCATGATATTGAGTCAACATAGTTCACAACGAAATCCATCTGTTATCGCCATACCTCGGTCTCCTTCGGCACTTTAGTAAAAAATTTTATTTCACAGGCGTTACACCACTTGTTCCCTAATTGATATCACGCTTTCTTTCTTCCCTGCATGTACAAAATTTCGAAAAAGCTTACAGGTGTTATAGTGTTAATGAACTAGGGTTTAATTAATGTTATAGTGTTAATGAATTAGGATTTAAATAATAGGAACCATCACTAGGTGTAAGATACATGACATGAGAGGTCCCAGAGAGTAAACATATATAGCTAAGTTGCATGCATATTGAGGTTGTGATATATATTGTGTAACTGTAGTTTAGGTATTGATTATTAAAAATCGGTCAGCCGTTTTAACCAAGGATTGGCGTCACTTCTCTGCAGTAAGACACAACAACAGGAATTAAGTTTAATTAATTGGAATGTCGGAAAATTGCGATGAGCAGCGATTATCTTGCTTTTCGATCGTTCGACGATGATGTAAACAAACTGGAGTTTCTTCAGGCAAGTTCACAACTCTTGCCAAACCAAGTGGCAGGAGCTTAGAATTGCCGTAAAAAGCTTCTTTACTGCTCCTTGTTTTACCGACGAACCAACATTTAGCATGAACGGACGAAAAAGTGATCAGAAAAAGCCTACACGACACTGTAAACGTTTCCGAAAATTGAGCCAGTTCGGAACCGTATTGAAACTTCGCACAAAAGACCGTTTTTCGGCGCGAGAACAATTTTTGTACAATTTGTACACCCTCTCAATTTTTTAAAATTCTTTTCTCCTTTTCGAAAATGAGAATTAAAACCTTATCTTTTAAACGGCTTCCTTATTTTTAAACTTTTGTCACGGCTGTTCATTTCCCGCAATGTTTATTGAGTTTATATGAGCGCGCGTCTGAGCCTGCGTTTCGTACCGCGGGTCTCAGACACACGCGCAGAGGTTTTTCACTCCTGTCCTGTTTACTGACAGTTAGTATCTCATATCCTGAATAGATTGACGGGCATATTTTCAGCTATCGGTCTTTCACTTGCTGCTCAAAGGGCATGGAAAATACATCTTCGATTGAGGAAATAGAATTCGGCGAAAAAATCGGAGAAGGTTCGTATGGCGAAGTGCGGAAGGCCGTGTGGAAAGGCAAGCAAGTTGCTGCTAAACGGATTCTACCAATCCTCGTTATGGAGGACTACGATGACATTCAAACGAAAGCTGTGTTAGACAAGTTTGAGAGGGAATGGAAAATTCTCTGCAGCATTCAGCATGAGAATATTGTGCGGTATTACACTGTTATTTTACCACCTCCTCCAGAGAGTCCCATCATTGTCACAGAGTTGCTAGAGTGCGATTTGGCCAAGCACATTCGGGAATCTAAACCAAAGGTGCCTTTCTCAGACTTAATCAAAATCATGCTGGACGTCGCAGAAGGTTTACATTACATTCATTCTCTAAAAGAACCGATTGTACATCGTGACTTGGCGAGCAAAAATGTATTGTTGACGAAATCCTTGCGTGCAAAGATTGCAGATTTGGGTCAAGCAAAAGTGTTTCCTCGAGCTGCAATGTACGCGACCGCCATGCCGGGAACACCCGTGTATGCCGCTCCCGAGACGTATCCAATGGGGCAAGGAGGACTACCGAGGGGTCATGAAGCAAGATACACCGTAAAAATCGACATATTCTCATTTGGAGCCATGCTGCTGGAGATCTGTATTGGTCATCTACCTGTGGATAATTTGCCTGATCCGGTTCTTGAAGGTAACTGTGTCCTATTTTTCTCTTAAAATTTCGATAGCATTGTTTTCATGAGCGATTGATCAAGTTAGTCTGAGTCGCTTAGCGAATGAATGATGGACTTTCATAAAAGCAGTTGCTTTTCTACTTTTTTTTCGCGCTATTTGGCAAACTTCAACGCAATTTTCATTTAACTCACTTATAGCCAGGTGCCTGAAGCGAGTCGGCATTGAAGGGGAACTTGCGGTCATTTATTTGACGAGGCTGTCGAATCCGAAACAGAACGATGTCTCCTCCAAAACATATTGAATCATTATTCATTTCATGATCGCAGAAACCTTTCATCCTAATGTATGATGCGATGTAACAACCAAGCAATTCTAGCTGATTTTCTTTTGTTTCAGCCTTGAAAATGAAAAGCACTTAGCCAGATGCGAACACTGGCATCTTCTGCCACGCCATTCAAATCGAGTTACCATGTCGCACTACAGTTCTGCGTGTGATTTTAAGTCGTGTAACAAAGTCTGTAAACATAAAACCATCAGGAATGTTAAGCTAGCGAGACATTCGGCGTCGTGAAAGTACGGTAATTGTGCCTGTTTAAAGAGGTTATGGATCGATGGTTAAATCACGATACAAAGTTTTTAAAACATTGTCGCTTATAGGAGATGTTAGGTAGTTTATCGAAGTTTAAGAAACTAAGACGCCGTAGACTATGTCGGTTAAAAAATGAACTTACATTTAACCTTCGAATTTCGCGATACTCTCGGGTCATTTAGTTTGTTTCTGACTTGTACACTTTCTGTATCTATTGTAAGTCACGCTATCAGCTACGTAACAGTTGCGTGACTTGTTTAATTCGGCATAAGGATAATTAATGCTCACCTTTTTGCTCGAGCTTGTAATTGGCTCTCGAAATTGCTCTCTTCTCTAAGCAGTTCAAACATTCGCAGACAAATATCCGTGCATACTTCTGCTTCAACTGGAAGCTTTGTTTTTGTATTCCTCAGTTTTAACTTAGGTATATTAGATATTGTGATCAAAAAAAAAAATTTATTAGATAATAAGCTGACATTATTCACAAGTCAATCCTGAAATTTCCGTGCCACATTGAGGCTATTGCCTCTTTTATCGTGCTGGGATATGCTGCTGCACGAATGTAGATAGGTTCTTTACTTGGATCTACAGCGATAAGTGTCTTCTTCCCCGGCATCTTCAGTGCTCAGTTTAACAGCTTTCTTTTTTAAAACCTTAATTCCAGACGGGAAAATAGTCCCAGAGTACATACGCCGTCACGAGGACCTGGAAGAGCTGGGTCCGAGCCACCCTCTACGCAACCTTGTTTTGCAGTGCTTGGAAAACTCTCCCGAGAAAAGACCCAGTGCAGGTGAGATTAAAGATAAACTCAGCAAAGCTGCGAGTGGAACATTATCAGGTAGCCCGTTTGACGATAGGGATGCTGGTATGTCCCATAATCATTACGATCACAAGTTTAAGCTTGTCGTACTTGGCGAGTCAAGTGTAGGCAAGACCTCTATCGTGGCCCGATTCCTGAATGCAAACAAACAGCTTTCTGAGATATCATTTACAAGAAACGTCGAGTCTGAAGATCACTTTGTGCGACTGCGTCTCCGTGATACTGATAAGTCAGTCCATCTTCACATCGTCGATGTAGGCGGTCACAGGTCAACCAAAGCCTCCAGCTTAGCGCCTCAGATTTTTCGCCGCGCTCGGGGCGCGGTTATAGCCTTCGACCTCCTCTCTGAATTATCTTTCTCGGAAGTGCCGAATTGGGTGAAAGTCGTCAGGGAGAGGTGCTTTGAAGGAATTCCCATCCTATTAGTTGGAAACAAAAATGACGAGTTGGAGAAAAAGGTTGATTCGCAAAGAGTGGAGCAATTTGCCAAAAGAGAGAGTGTGTTTTACACAGAGGCTAGTGCCAAATCTGGAAAGAACATCGATGAAATATTCTCTGTCCTCACGGACTTAATGATTGAATGCGAAGACAAAAACGAAGGTGTAGCTATGACTAGCGATCTTATGGTTTCTTTACGAGAGACCCTTTCTGGCAGGGATGCCAGCCAGGAGAAGTCCCCAATCGCCGAACGCTACCTTACCCCTCGTCACGAGGCCCTCGATCCGGGAGTCATTTTGCTGAACGATAAAAAGGAAAAAGGAGGGACGATGGAGCAAGACGATAACGGAAGGAAAAGCAAATCACGGTGTTGTTTGTTGGGCTAAAGTGACTGTGGACGATGTTAGACATGGAAGAACATAAGATTCGCCGGTTTTGAAGGTCTCTTATTTAGGGGTTACAAGATTATGACAGTTTTTATTATTATTCAATGTCATCTTTACTGCATACAACTTTGTTTCATGTTTATTCTGATGGTAGAATGGTAATCTTTACTCCCGCAATTTGTACTTCCAGTATAAAATCCACAATCAGTCCCTTGAAACACTGTTGCCCCAAAGTTGTAGATCTAGTGATTCTAGATGAAGTGTCCGCCTTCAAACCCAAGTGTCTGGTTTTGTACGATTTTAGACACTAGTATCAGATTTAAGCACTAATGTCAGATTTTAGACACTAGTGCCTGATCTTAATCACTTCTGCTCATTTTAGATACAAGTGTCCCGTTTTTGACACAAGTGGCCGATTTTAGATGTTTAACTCTAGTTTCCAATTTTGGATACTAGTGCCCGATTTTAAACGCCAGTGTACTATGTTAGATACTAGTGTACGATTTTAAACATTAGTTTTTTATTATAGATGGTAGTGTCCGATTTTAGACACTATTTTGAACACTCGGGTCTTATCTAGGACACTAGTGTTCAATACTAGACACAATATTGTCGGATTTTAGACACGAGTGTCCGATTTGAAACTCGAGTGTCCGATTTTAGACTTTTAAAATGTCTTATTTTAGAGAGTACTGTCCGATGTGAAAATGACCGTAGACACCCGAAAGGTACAAAATTGTAACGAATAAAATTGTTAGTAAAAGTTTTGTACCGTTTAGGATGCCTACGGTCATTTTCACATGCCCACAAAGATCAATGATCTCCTCGGCCCGTCAAAGAAAGAAAAAAGGTTTATAAACATGCAAATTTATAAGAGTTTGTGAACTTTTCTTGCTCTGTTTCTCCCACAGACCGCGCGAAACGTGTACCTTGAGAGATCTAGTACAGGGTTGGCGAATCCCAGTATTTATTCGGACACAGCATTAGCAAAGTCGCGTATCATATACATGTTTGTATCGTGGAAATGATTAAATATCATAATGTTCAATGGAGTACTTTTGCACTGAATTACCTCATTAAAAGCGTCGACGAGGCATATTTGTGACAGAAGCGAACAATCAATAGAAAATCCTCTTCATGAACACAAGACCTTTGCGGACGGGAGATGAAGGGGACCCAGAAATGAATTTTTGTAGACACGTCCTTAAAAGCTCTTTGCTCATCTCCAACAAGCATCATTCCCCGGCCCTCTGTCCCCTTAAAAATACGACACTTTCTTTTCTCTTTATGAGTTCAGTGAACTATTTGCGAAAGGTGGCATTGGGGCGTAAAATGAACTTGTTTCTGAAAATCATTGTCGTGTTTTAATAAAATACACGGGTTAAGCTGTATTAAGGCCCCGCCCCCTCTTCGATACCTCTCCCGTCTGAAGGTCCTGGAAACTAGTGAACATTAAAAGTTTCTGCCGTGACAGTTCTTAACGACCCCCTGTAGGGGATGGGTGTACTTTGGAATTTATTACTTGCACTGTTAGTTGTTAAACTCAAGGAGTCGGACATTAGTTCGCTCTTGATTTTTGTCTATAATCACGCAACTTCCAACTCATGAAGAGCAAATGGGGAACACTTCATCGAAAGAAGAAGTGAAGTTTGATCGTAAACTCGGTGAAGGGTCCTACGCAGAGGTATACAAAGCTGTTTGGAGGAAAACACCAGTTGCCGCAAAAAAACTCCACACTAACTTGTTGGAGAAGACCAATGTTAAGGCGCAATTCAAAGCAGAGTGGGAATTGTTGAGCCGATTGGATCACCCCAATATTGTGAAATATTTATCCGTTGTTTTGCCTAAATCCCCGCAAGATGCACCGATCATTATCACAGAGCTTTTGGAACAAGATTTGGGTAAATTCATATCTTCACAAAGAAATCGCCATTGCAAAGTTAGCTTTCGCGACACAGTGTTCATAATGCTTGATGTCGCCAAAGGACTCGATTATCTTCATCAAAGACCATAGCCAGTAGTACATAGAGACCTTGCTTGTAAGAATATTTTGTTAACTGCTAACAAACAAGCGAAGATTGCCGACTTTGGAATTGCGAGATGTTTTCCGGGAGGTGAGATGGCTGCTACGGCAAACATTGGGACAATTTTTACTCGAGCTCCCGAAACATATGGGAAGTGGTGTTATAGCAGAGAACATAAGAACTACGGAACTAAAGCTGATATATTTTCTTTTGGCGTCGTTCTTCTGGAAGTAATAGTCGGTCATCTTTCTGTGCGCTTGTCTGAACTTCGTACGGAAGGTAAGTTTCCCTCTAATATGTTCAATTCTGATTTTGACGATTGTGGGACGCTGCCGTTAAAGATTGTATCAATTCAAAGTTTTAACCATGAGGTCTCCGACTCTAAAAAAAATTTCAATATTTTATAGAACTGAAATTTAGTCGGCTTGTGTTTGATAGAAGTTAGCAAGCGACAGTATCATTCACTTGCAACAATATTTTGACATAGGTTACATGTTGGTGAAATGTTTGTACTCCAGTTTAGTATAATTTGCTTGTTTGTGTAAATTACTTTACTTTCCGAAATGAGGCCGCTAAGCGATTGCTTGTTAGATTTTATTTGTAGGATACTGACTGTTAAGTGTAAATTATACATATTGAAAACGTTCTGCACATTTCTGGAGAAGAAGGGAGGCAGACATTTTGTTGAGATAGATTGCATGACATGACAAAACAAAATGAGGAAAGGTAGACGTCGGGGGAATGGGGCTAGTTTTAAATTTTTAGCGAACAGCAGGAGTGTAAGAAGGAAGATTAGGAAGCAAAAGTGAAAGGAAGAAAAAACCCAGAGTCAAGGTGAAGAGCAGCAAGAAACTTGTGTCAAAGGAGTTGCATTTTTACTCTACGTGAACTACCCTTTTTAGAAGTAAAACATCTCTCCGTAATCATTTCAAAGGAAATAACACTTATTCATAAATCGAATTATTTATTTATTTATTTATTTATTTATTTATTCATGTAATGGTAATACTGTTTCATCTCCTTATATCTTCATAGATGGAAAAATTGTGCCAGAAACTATTCGCCGAAGTGAGGATCTCCATGAAATACAACCCGAACATCCTCTACGTCCTCTGGTCCTGGTCTGTCTGGAAGATGAACCCGAAGACCGTCCGACAGCCGAAAACTTGGTGAACACCCTCACAGGCTTCAAAGATAGTAATGAACAACACCGATCGCAGGAAAATCTCAACAGCAGAAAGCGTGTTGATCGAGTTACTTTTGGTCAGTATGACTACGAGTTTAAAGTTGTGTTGGTTGGCGATTTGGGTGTGGGCAAAACAAGCATCGGAAGGAAATTTGTTCTACCCTCACGTCCATTTCAAGACTATATGCCAACGACAATTGCTGGGGGAGAATACAACGAGCGTCTTCAGCTTAAAGGAAAATCGATTTTCCTACAAATTGTGGACACAGCAGGAGAGTTTAACAATAGCAGCTCGCTCCCGCAACTGTACAGAGGAGTTCACGGGGCGGCTGTTGTTTTTGATGTGGCTTCGAAGGCTTCTTTGGCAAGTGTGCGTCAATGGGTCTCCATGGTGCGTGAAAAATGTGGCAATGACATACCCATAATCCTTGTGGGGAACAAGATAGACTGTAAGCGCAGACAAGTGAGTATTGAAACAGCGGAAAAAATGTGTCAAGATTTCAATCTTTTTTATATTGAAGCGAGCGCCAAAACTGGTCTGAATATCGACGAGACATTTTCTGTGTTATTAGAGCAGTTAATGGAGCAGAGAGACCAACAAGATTTTTCTCGTCCCTCAAGGAGTTCTGCTCCATATCGGCGAAGCGTGGATTTAAGAGCAAAGCAGTATGCTTCTGTTTCACAAATCACGGAGAGGGAGCCGGCCGTGCGGAGAAGAATCAATAAAGATCCTGATAGCCTAAGTCTGAATTCAGACATTAATAAAGAACGGAACCATACAACTCCTTTGTTGGTCCCTGAAGCTGACAGAAAGAAAAAATCCTGCTGCTCTTAAATGGAAGCTTAGTACAAAGTGTATGGCTAAGACCGGCCTCCATTCTCCCAGCTAGTCTGTCGGACGCTTCTTTCGGTAAATGGACTCTATATTTCAGTGAAAAGAACCAGAAGAACGTGTTCTGACTGAATTGTACTTGACCTTTGAGGAAGGCTATAGTCAATTTCCAAGCTCGAACGCGGACTATTTTAAAGTAAAATTGTGGGAGTTTAAATATTTAACATTGTGACGTAAAATGTGCTAGCACTCACGAGCAGGGGACGTTAGCATTTCTTGTACACCAACCAGAAACAGTTCTCCCAGGTCGTAAAGCAGCCTGAGTTAAAAGGGATTTATACTCCTGCAACGATGCAATTTTATTTTCTATCCTTCGAAATAATTCTGTCGGTAAATGAAAATAATTTACAACAATTCAATTTCCCCAGCTAGTCTTTGTTATATTACTAGCTGTGCAGAGCGTTGTTAATTAATATTGCAGAGCTGTTCACAAGGCGAAAACGATGAGTTTTTTCGTTGAATGGTTAAACTGACAAAAGATGTTCACTAAGGCAGGACGATTTTTGTTACTCGTGTGTAAAACATTCCTCCTTATGAGACATTGTAGTCAATTTTCTTTAACCCCCCCCCCCTTTTATAATCTGTTAGCGACGAATGATTCCCTTCCGTTCCTCCGGAAAACCACATCACCCCCACCCACTTCTTGGTCCCTAAATTGGAAGTATTCATGAAATTTCGAGTTTAAAACTTATGAATCATGAGAGAAAATATTAAGAAAATGAATCATTGCGCTTAAAGTGGGAATCACGAATCTCAAAGGTCAAATGATCGTCATGATTCTAGTTCCACCCCCGAAAATGTGGCCATGCTCTAAATCTTTTCCGACCAAACAAATGATAAAGGTTAGGACGAACCATACATTAATAAATACTACTCGATACATGACTGTCTTTGTAGTGTTTTGTCTCTACTAAACCAAATCTTCTGACACATCCTAACCAATCTGACTGTTATTAGTTCGAACTCAACGCTGCGCACATACGTCATGCTGAAGATTAGGTACAAAGGCGTGGCTATGGGGATCTTGAGGTGTCCGTGACTCCCTTTGTAAGCCTTTTCTTAATCAAACGACCGGGGTACTGTTCGACACTGTGAGCCCCCCCATTTTTTTTAAAATTCCTGTTTACGCCCCTGAGGTGTGGCATAGTAGGAGTCGGTCATAAACACCCTTAGCCTTTGCGAAATTGAGAGGCGCTCCGGAGACGTATCCAACGTGGTGAGGAGGACTACCGAGGGTCATAAAGCAAGATACACCGTAACAATCGACACCTACTCGTTTGGATCCATGCCGCTGGAGATAACAATTGAATGAATGAATGAATTCCTTATTTATATTGCGCCCTTTCTATACAATATTCAAAGGCGCAGTACCCCCCATCAATTTGATAGACACTACACAAAGATAGACCACAACACCGGGCACTACG